ACAAAATCATTTAAACTGCTTAATTTAAACATCTTCAGTGTCCTCAAACACGTTTTCTCACAGACTTTGCGGTACAAGAAGTACTATTTTTAAAACAATTTTTTAGCAGTAAAAAGAGTTTTTTACTGAATTTTACAGTAAAAAATAGTGTAAAACCAGGTGTTGATGCAATGTCCTTTGATGTTATTGCTGAAGGACTATTTTACATACTACTCACTCAGTCATGTGGAGGACTTTAGTTATACAGTAGAATATTTCAGGGTGTTATCTTCTCAGCTTTAAGAACCCCATACACCAGATTGTTTTTTTTTATGATGTCCTCAAACATAGATATTTTGAGGACAACAAGTATGTTTCACTATCCATCTTCAAAGTATGTGAGAATGCATGCTTTCTTCCCAGTTACCAAGTCTGACTGACATGCTGTGATTGAACCTCCAGGGTCACAGGCTCACGTTGCTGTGCATCCTCGAGTGTGCTGCTCATCTCCTGCCTGTACCTGAAGATGTGCTGATGTGTTTCCTCAACAAGACAATCAAAGTGTTCACCAGGGTAAGTCTCAACTCTAGGCGCTTTTCCACTGGCCCGCCTCTAACCGGTTCGGTCCCAGTCCGCCCCTGTCAAGATCCATTAGCAGATCTGGATCGGCTCTGCCCGGCTGTTGTCAGATTTTCGTACCTACTTTATGGGTAGAACTAGCCAGGCCGAGCCAGATACGGCACCGAAACGATTTCATTAACAACTGCACTGCAGAAAACACAATTAACTTGGGTCGAGGTTCTAGTGCAAATATCTTAGTCCACTTGAAATAAGACTACCCGGTGTAGAACCGAACCGAACTGCACATTAACCGATTAGAGTGAGACCTGCCAGTGGAAAAGCGCCTACTGTGTACCTCAACATTTGAAGATGTGAACTCCTAAGACGTTTGTTCTGCTCTCACCAGACGGATCCAGCCTCAGACAAGAATGAGTCACTGTACAAAACACTGAAAGCAATCCTGACTCCCGTTCTTTACGAGCTGCATTCCAAAGCTGTGGATGTGACCGAAGACTCCTGATCAGCTTCAGTTTCATTTCCCCTGACAGGGTTCTGTGCTTGTGTCGTTAGCCAGCGCCTTGCACCACGTACTTTCGACTTTACCAGTCTGTAAAGTTTGAAGCGTTTTCTCTGAGGAGTGTATCAATATGTAGAGGAAAACTACTGCCATTGTTGATGTTAACGTGCCACTGTGCTTAGCTTGAAACATTTGTCTGCGACTTCTTTTACTCCGTTTATGACGGACTACGTTCTTGTAGTGTCTGACTTTTATCTGCCTGGAATAAGACTAAGAAAAACGTTTCTTTTTTCTGCTAACAAATTCAAATTCAAGAATACTTTATTGATCCCAAAGGGAATTTAAATTAATAAGTAAATATATTTAAGTTTGACACAAATCCAAAGATGTTTTACGCTATACTGATGGTGTACTATTACTTATTTATTTGGATATTTTTTTCATTATGTTAAACAGCTGAACTACAGTTCAGCTAGAGCTTAGCGAATAACAGGATTTCTTTACTTGATATAGAATATCAAGTCAGAAAGGAAACTTTGACTATGTGTTGGCAATTCATATTCAACTGGCCACTGTGCTTTTTGTTAATCTGTGCAACTTGATGTCCTTAATATTATTTACAACATAAAACCTCTCATTGTGATGTTCTGCTGATGCAGAACTACCTCTCTCGGCTGGACCCTTTACCATGGTATCTGTTGTTTGTGCACGTGTGTGGTGTGTGTGTGTGTGTGTGCGCGTGTGTGTTTGAAAGCGGGCGAGCAGCGATAAGTCTGAATACTGCCTCTCACCTTATGTGTCTCATGTGTGGATGTATTGTTGCTTTGACCTGCTAACATGCTGAATGTGGAGCACTGATGGAAGACCTGACACGTTTCACTGTGGGATTTGTTTTCAGTGGCCACTAATTTTTGTATACTTTCTAAAGGTTGCTTCATACAGAAATAAATGCCTGACTAGTTGCAAGTTGTGTGGACTAAATTATTTCTAAGCATTAGCTCAGCTGAAAGGTGAAAAGAAAAGAGTTACATAATGACCTGTCCATTGCCTGTAGAGGAGGTCCTTGACATGAGTCCCTGGTCTAACAGACCCGAATCTGTGGGCTGTCAAGTTTCCAGAGTCTCAGTGCTTTCTGCTGGTTACCTGATTATTTGACTCTTGAAGCTGAGGCGCAGGACACCAGCTCTCACCGGAGACTCCACCTCTTTCTCGCCGTCTTCGCGTAATAGTAAATTCCTGTAAATTTGCCGTATTACAATATTATGTATTTTAAGAAATACATAATATTTGTGCATGTGTGTGTTGACATGTAATTTAACCGATTAAATGTCAATTGGATAACATTTAAACATTACATAAACCGACGGACCAAAAAATAAAGTGACGTGGAATTTTGATGTTTTAAGATCGTAAAGCAACTCTTTTCTTTCTTTCTTTTTTTTTTTTTTTACACTTGCTCAACAGTATTTTTTCTTTACAATATTATATGCATGAATACTTGTACACATGAACCACAAGGTGGCAGCACTGCGGCTGCGAGGGGACGAAGTGAACAGAAGTAGGGACTCAAAGCAGTTGGACAGTGGAGGAGCATTTTTCCATGACAGTCAGCCAGGTGGGTGGACAGAATCATTTATACATGGGGTATTTAGGTCCGTATGAGCTTCTAGTTGGATTTTTTTGCTCTGATATTCACCTTGATAGAAAACCAGGAGGGTGAAGGCGGCATTCTGGCCGGAAGAGTGGCTCCGGTACTTTAATGCGAGCTTTGCTATTCTGGACACCCATGCTGGACCGTGATGCTAGCTGTCAGGGATTGTTAGCTAGCTGGTTATCAGGAGTGGGGAACGGAGTTCGGCTGAGAATGTGGCGCTGCTGTAACTGCGGGTTACATCTCTGGGCTTTATGCTTTATCTCGAAGGTTAGCTATAACAGAAATGAGACTCTCCCAGGAATAATTCCGACTCATCTTGTCTGTCACCGTGGCTTATGGTTGGGATTAGCTTGCTAGCTTCTTTGGCTGTCCAAGGAGGAAGACGGGGTTGGAAGACGGAGGAGGTGCTCGGGTTCTGAAGAACTTCTGATCAGAGGAGCCTCCTTCCTCCTAATGGACACCAGCTACATGAGTTAAAGGAGAAAAACAGGGAAATACAATGAAAATATCCCGGTATTGTTCCCACAGTGGGAAAATTAAACTTAAAGTTCTTTTTTTTTTTTTTTAGAAACGTGTACAAGCAAGGGAAAAAAATAAATAAATTAAAAAAAATATTATATATATATATATATATATATATATATATATATATATATATATATATATGTGTGTACAATTTTTTCTCCACTTAAACTTTATATTAAAAAAATAACAATGAAGGATTGTTATGACATAGAAGTTACCCATCAATTTTTCAAGTGATGACATCTTTGTCCACAAAGACAAAAATCACTGACTGTCTCACAACTTCCTGCTGGACCACAGAGTCTTGAATTCTGCAGCTGCTTGTGGGAAATCAGAAGTCTGAGTTAGGGGTGCCCCGATTTATCGGCCAGCCGATTTCCTTAGTTTTGGGAGATCAATGATTGGCTGATACTTATTCTCCGATCTTATCTAGATCAGTAATGGTCTAAAAGAATCAGCCACCATCCTCTTCTGATGTTTGACTGACAGACTAGCCCACCAGGGCATTTCTGCACTTCACATTTGACAGTAGTCAACCCGCATGTCTGCAGACACTTTAGAAAAACAGCGTCTTAAGTCAGAAGCTTGTTCAAATTGGTTGTAATGCAGACCGCTACAGGAGCTCTTTCCTGCCCACAGCCATCACTGTCTACAATAACTCTTTACTTACATTAGTTTCAACAACATTTAATTTCCCTTTGGGATCAATAAAGTATTTTTTAAGAGAATTTGGTCAGGAGTGTGAATTATAATCTGCCTAAAAAGCCTTCAGATTTTTCTGTCACCGTTTTGAAAATGTAACTAAAACGAAGGAATTTATGATAACCCAAGAGAATTAGAAAAGCTTTGGATGGATGGATGGATGAAGGGAATAAGGGTTAAATGAAGGGATGGAGCTCATGCTGGCTCCACCACACGATGCAGCCCTGGGCGGTTGCCCATGTCAGAAACTGCCACTTCATGAAAATGCTTTTACTTTCACAGTTTTTTCATCAGAGTGACAGTTTAAAGACAGAAGAGTTAAGGAAATATACATTTATAACAGCTCACATCATTATTGTGATATTTTGTGATAATTTTACATTTCCATGAGGGGTTTTAATAAAATAAACAATCTTTAACGGTTCTCTAACATCTCACTTGTGGTGTAAATTGTGAGCATGGGCGTATTTGTGTTGTGACATCTGACACTTCCTGTTCTGACTCCACAATCTCTGCTCTCCATCTTTTTTTTTTTTTTTCTTTTTTCACAGGAAGGCTCCTCTCCCAGATTTGATTTTTTTTCCCCACACTTCCAAGACGGAAAGCGAAGCGACATCCTCGTTTGCACGGTGGGATGAGGTAGTAGGTTGTATAGTTTTAGGGTCACACCCGCACTGGGAGATAACTATTCAACCTGCTGTCTTTCTCAAAGTGCTTTACTCGTCGGTCTGAGCTGTGGACGAGTTCCTGCTGCTCTCCACCGGATGACGCCGTCACCGTTAGAACGTTCTTCAGCTGCTCACTCAGTGTGAGGTAGTAGATTGTATAGTTTTAAGGTTGTGATTGTTTGCCCTGCCTAGGAGATAACTATACAACCCACTGCCTTCCCTGGAGAGTGGGAAAACCCCAAAGAAAACCTGGTGACGTTTTATTTGGAGTGGTGTGCATAAGGCTGACATGAAACCGTCAGCCTTATACACACCACCTGTTATGAACATGAAGGAGTCTTCATGAATGTTAGTGCTGTTGTCAACAAGTGTCATTCGGTAAATAACACTTTTAATGCAAAGTTGCATTAAAAGTTAATTAAAAGTGTCAACTTTGCATTAAAGTGTCATTATTTCCCAAATGACACTTCATGACGACAGTTCTAAACATTCGTGTTCGTAACAGTGTCATGTGAGTCTTATGCGCACCTCTTCAAATAAAGTGTCACCAAAAGGTCTGACACCATATTTAAGGTTATGTTCTGATGTCATCAGTAGCAACTGGAAAACAGAACTACTATCTGGTTTGTATTGAGCCAGTCGGTCGCTGCACCGACACCAAAGCCAATACCTCTGCGGTTCTGCATTCTATACGAGAAATCTCTCTTTTTTTTTAAACCTGAATTCATCTTTAAAGTCTCCATAAACATCACAAGAAGACATCTGATACAAATCTGTTCTCCAGTTTGGTGTAAACTGACCTATGAGTCACTGATGAGCAGCTGGTTGGAAAACTTAAGGACTAAAACATCAGTAGGAAGCACTTTACTGCCTCTTCCTGCGTAATTATCACTGCATTCCCTAAACAATTTCATTTAAAGGGGCAGTATCATCTAAAATTTGCTTATTTTGAGCTTTTACATCATGTTATAATCTAATTCCCTCATCAAAAACATACTTTTGCTGGTGTTTTGCACAATTGATTGGTTAGCATGGGAAATGAACGTATTTCTCAAACGTACATGAAAGAATCAAAGCAAGACTCAAGGTAGGTTTTTGATGAGGAGATTACATTATAATAGGATATAAAGGTTAAAAAAAGTTGATTTTACATCATACTGACCCTTTCAAAAAAAAAAGATGCAAGTTTTTACCACCGTACTTCCAAGAGTGACCATTAGGTGGCGGCATTTATCTTTTACTGTTTTACGAGAGGATCTGTAAACCCTGTTCATAGGTTTATTTTACTGTTCTCTAAAAGGTAATGAAGTGTGAAGTGACTACTTTAAAGAGCAGTCCTCTGAATCGGCACCTTTAAATGAAGCGTTCCATCAGTAGAACAGATGCTGCCTCTGAATTATTCTGTGCTAATAATTCAGATCAGTAAAAAGTGCATGTGTTATCAGAGGCAGGGAAACGGTTTATCCACAGTTGGTTAAATATGTTGTTGTTAATCATTGTTAGTGAACTGAAGGCTGACACAGACCATCAGAGCAAGCATCACATTTTAAATGTGTTTAGTTGAGCACAAGGTGTTAATCAATATCCTGGTGCTGGTAGAGCTTCTTCAGCTGGTGTTGTTGGGAACCAGTCCACTAATCGGAGCATTCCCATTACAGCTCCAGACTTTTAATGTGTTTTGATGGGAATTTACGTCAGAGACCAACACAAAGTGCTGATAAATGTTTCTGAGAATTGTGTGACATCTGGAAAGTGTGGTGTGCACTTGTTTTCAGTTCCCTTTGTCACCCCACATTAAAATTCTTGTGCAGTCATATGACTTTGTATTTTTGTTCTTTGAAAGTTTGGCCCATTCACTTTTGCAAGGAAAGTCAAGCTCTGTTGTATTGGATGGAAAGTGTCATCAGATTCCTATTTGGATTTAGTTCTGGACTTTGACTAGAGCATCTTAACCCATAACCCACATACACCCATACATAGTGTTTTATTTGTAGGCCACAGAGTTACGTTTTCAGGACTAATTCATCTATTTGTCCTCTGTTAGCATTGCAATCCTGATGAACTCTGCTCAAAAACATTCTCGACATATCGCTACAACCTGGACTTTCTCCCCTTCACTTGGATTGTCTCTGGCAGGTTTTCTACTGGGCCAATCAGCTAATAGGAGATGCTGTGAACAAGAAACTTAGAATTGTAGTTTACTTTGTTGACAAATTAATCCCAATTTTCATTAAAACGTCACACAGTATCAGTTTTGGGACATCTTGCTTCATTTAATTGTCGCGTGTTTGGTTTAATGCTGCGGTCCACATTGTTGGAACCATATTTTCGCTAAACTGTTTATGTGATATTTTGTGAGCTCTAAATGTTTATGGGCCCAATCTTTTCTCTGTAGCAGTTGAGGCTAAAGACCATCGTCTTCCTGTGTAGTTCCGCTCGAAAACAGTTCACGCGCAAAGTGTGGTACAGGAGCCTGTTGGTTTCTGTTTTTGTTTTGTTTCTTAAACAGGCGCCTCCAGCCCAGATCCTGTCAGGACGCGCCTGGTAGAGGTGAAGGTGGAGCGGAGGCAGGCGGTACCGGGGCTTTGAGGTGCGTCGTGGTGAAAGTCACGGTACTGTTTCCGACCCAGTGCGGTGGCACCAACCCAGGCTGTAGCGAACCGGGCACTGAGACAGCCTGATAAAGTCAGAAGTTTTCTCAGCAGCCTAACTATTTCTGTGTCTGTGTGTCTTTTCTACTGAAAAAAACCCCGAAATGAAATAAAAACGGGTATTTGTAACTTCAACATTAGACCTTTATTACGGTTTTATTACGTGTATTAAGTGTAATTTACGGTTTTATTAAGTGTATGTTGGAAGAAAAAAAAATCTCGGCTATAATTTGACATTTGAAGGGCGCAGTTCCGCCCCGTCACCCCCTCTCACCACCCCATGGGCATGGTGTCCTAGCAACATGGAGGCAGAGGCATGTCTCTGATGAGAATCGATTCAGTCATTTTTTGGAAGAAAAAAAAAAAAAAATTGGGGCACCGAGGATGAAAGGGGCAGGTGCTCCCTCCGCACCCCACTCTGCACGTATTGTGTTATATTTATTATATGTAAATTAAACTGCTGACATTTTAATGGGCTTTGTTGTACGACATTATTAGTGGCCTCATGTGGCCGTCTTTTGTCAAACTTTCTGTTTTCTCCCTGTTGGGACGCTTTACATAAAAGGCGTTACCAGCCTGGCGGCGCGGCTCTACAGCTCCTCGGGTCAGAAGCGCGCTGGGCTCGGAGGCAGATCCTCGGCAGAACACGCCCTGATAGAAAAAGGTAGCCCCACGCGGAGTGAGACCCAGACGGACGCGATCGTTGAGCCAGTTCACACAGCGGAGCGGCCGGGATCAGCCGCTCCAATAATGCCCCCTCCGCAGGCTCCCACAAACGGACTCCCACCGAATCAGACCGGGACGGGCCCGCTGCCACTCACTGTGGACTCACTGTGGACCGACGGCTCGGAACACCTGGAGACCCTGAAGGAGTTTTCTGCTGCGGCAGAGGATTAAATCCCACCATGAGCAGGAAGACCCGGCGCTGGATTTTCCATTTTTTCCTCTGCCTCGGAGTAGTTTACCTTAAAATCGGGTGAGTTGTGGATTTCCTGAAGCTCGGCTGTAATGATCCGACAGCGGAGGTTATTAGGTCAGGACCAGCCGGCAGGTGAGTTTCTCCATCAGCTCCGCAGAGAGAGGAGTTGGTGAAAGCAGAAAGTCAGCTGTCGGCGTTTCTTCCTGCACACTTGTAGCTGTTCTGCTGCTGCTGCTGGACGCATGTTCACCTGCATGTCCTCCTCCTCCTCCCTCTCCTCCTCTTCGTCGCAGGGGGCTGTCGTCGGTGGTCGCGCTGGGAGCCAGCATCATCTGTAACAAGATCCCGGGCTTGGCCCCCCGGCAGCGGACGATCTGTCAGAGCCGACCCGACGCCATCATCGTGGTGGGAGAGGGAGTCCAGGCGGGCATCAACGAGTGCCAGTTCCAGTTCAGGCACGGCCGCTGGAACTGCTCGGCCCTGGGGGAGAGGACCGTGTTTGGGAAGGAGCTCAAAGTGGGTAGGTAGCCGGGAAACGTCTGTCTGCCCGCACTGCACAACACAAAATATTACCAAGAAGTTTTTTGGTTCAAGTTTCTGGAGCAAATATACCAATGAACTTGAAATAAGACAAAACTAACTGACAAGTAAGCAAGATATAGGAGCTTGTTTTGAGTCTTCAATTCCTTCCTGACTACCAGGAAAAAAAAAATATTGTCCAATCACCTTTTTAAAAAAAAAAAAAATCCCACCGTCTTTGTGAGGTAATAAAAGGTTTTATGCACTTACTTTGTCTCTTCCCTTAAAATGTGTTATTACTGATGAACACCATTTTTATGAATTAGAAAAAGGTATGTACACAAGTCCCACCTCTTCACATGTGGTACCATTGAAAAGCCCTAAATGTCCTCTCCAGATACCAAAAGGAATTAATTCAGTAGAATGCAGGGGGTGGGAGATATTGAAGTTTAGAAATGTCCTCTACAGAGGACAAAAATGAACTACTGGTAGTCAGGAGGATATTGATGAAAAAGTTCTAGTTCCATTGGCTAATTATTTCACTTATAAGAAGACATTTTCCTTATGTTGTTAGTAAAATAATTTGCCAATGGAAGTAGTACTTTTTCCATCAATATTAAATGATTATTTACTTAAAACAAGCTCCTATATCTAGCTGAAAAGTTACTTCTAAGATATTTTTGTCTGCACTAATTCAAATGCACTAGAAACTAGACAATACTTGGTCAGATTTTGTGTTTTTGCAATGCAGGCTGTTTTTTGTTTGTCTCTGATGGCAAAACAACATCTAAAAATATTTCTAATATGAATATGACATGATGCAACAACCCCACCCCCCCCAATAAAATTCCAGAAAAGACCAAATTAGGAAACATTGCTCATATACATGAATGAAAACCATCTCTGTGATTGCACTGGCATGTTTTATTCTACATTAATAACCCCACAGTGTCTCCCTTAGCAGAAAGGGGAAACATGCCACCGCAGAGAGATGGATTGTTGAAAATTGCTATAAATTTTCCAAAAAATTCGGTCCAGAGGAAACATTCCTCTGAGGTACTTGACCCTCCGACCTTTGGACAGATGTCTACGAGTCTGAAGCGGAGGCCGGTTGCATCTGCTCTGTGGGAAAGCGAGCCTCATGTCTGATGGTGTCTGTGGAACAAAGCTGCAGGCGATGCTTAGCTGCAGACGGCAGAGCACAAATATGTCCTAACAACCCCACGCTCTGCCGTTTACGTCCTCCGACGTCCTGCCTGTCGTCTGGAGGGATGGACGGACTCGGTCTTTGGGTGTCGTTTTGCTCCCTAAGGATATTCAATCCTTCGTTGAGCATATCTGCGTCTTGCTGCATCATCCCTGGGGTTTAACGCAGCTCCTACACTGCAACAACACAAAATCTTACATAGTAATTCTTGTCTAGTTTCTAGTACAAATATCTTGAAATAAGATGAAAATAACTCATAAGTAACTTTTCCAGAAGACACAGGAGTTTGTTTTAAGTAAATAATTATTTAATACTGATAAAAAAAGTTCCAGTTTCATCGGCAGATTATTTTACTTATAACATGAGAAAAATATCTTGTTATACGTAAAATAATCTGCCGATGGAAGCTGTACCTTTTCATCAATATTAAGGAATTATTTATTTAAAACAAGCTCTTGTGTCTTGCTGAAAAGTTACTTCTGAGTTAGTTTTGATTTACTTCAAGTGGACTAAGTTGTTTGGACTAGAAACTAGATCAGAAATACTTGGTAAGATTTAGTGTTTTTCCAGTGTGTTGGCGGTGGAGGAGTCTTTCACTGGAGAAACAATAAATCTTACCAAGTATTTTTGGTCTAGTTTCTAGTGCAAATGTCTTAGTACACTTGGAATAAGATAAAACTACTCACAATTAACCTTTCAGCAAGATATAGGAGCTTGTTTTAAGTCAATAATTCTTTAATATTGATGAAAAAGTTTTAGTTCCATTGGCTGATTATTTCACTAACATCATGGGAAAAGTGTCTTGTTTTAAGTGACATAGTCAGCCAATGGAACTAGTATTTTTTAATCAGTATTAAAAAATTGCTTACTTAGAACAAACTCCTTTATCTTTCTGAAAAGTTACTTGTAAGTTAGTTTTGTCTTATTTCAAGGGTTATAAGACATTTGCACTAGAAACTTGAGAAAAATACTTGGTAAGAGTTAGTGTTTTTGCAGTGCATCTTTTTGGATGCAGTAGTATTCAAACTTAATTTTATGCACTAAAAAAAACATACACAGAGATCTAAATTCTTTTCATCATTGCTCAGCCAAACCATGTATGTTCATTAGAAAAAAAAAACATAAAAAAACACTTCCCCTCCCCAAAAACTTCAAGTTCAGGCAAGCACTTTGCTGTAAGTTTACAAATTTCCCTCCAGGTTCTGCAGCTTTTTACCATCAAACGATTCCCAGTGCTTCGCTTCAGGAAGACTCTCCGTTACCATGTCCCTTAACATCTAATCGAAGAAAGATGGGAGTCTCAGCGTTTTTGTGCTGCAGAGAACAGATCTTAGTCAGGAGTTCAGCTGAGCGCTGCTCAGGTCCAGCTGCCCTGCAGAGTGCGAATCCATTGTTTTGTGTTACTGGACTGGAACGCTGACGCCTGACAAGAATATATAAATTTGGGATTGTTGTTGGCGGTCATGCAGCAGTGGGTAGTGTTTTGGCATTAGGGTTAGGGATCTGTCCCACTGACAACTTAACTCCTTAAAATGGCTTCTCAGTTTTTGAACCGCTGAAGCCAACCGTAGTCTATCTGCGGAGCGGCACACCGCTGTGACTGGTCCTCTGATTCGTCCGAGGACCAGATCTGTGTGAAGAAGTGCCTCTGCAGAAGTTTAGCTGTTAAAATCCAGCAACTTTATTGACTGTTCCTGGATACAGTCCAAGTACGCTCCACCAGGAGTTATCTCCAATTTAATTAATAAAAACTGCAGTTGGCCTGAAGTGGTCAGATTTATAGGGCTGGGAATCTCTCCGTGCTGGGAGGTTTGTGCATGCCTCTGATTCACCTCCGCAGGGTGGAGACCAGCATGGCGGCTGGCAGGGAACCCGGCCAGAAGTCATGCAAAAATATTTCTTTTGTCATGTATTAAAAATGCATACAGGGTTTCCTCCAGTGTATTTAAGCCTGGCAGGCGGGCCACCAGGCTGTACTTGTCCCCCCACCAAGCTAAGCATTGCTTATTTATTTAAGTTAAAAAAAAAAAGTTTGCATTTTTAAGGCTTTATAGTTGAAGTTCAGGTGTGAATCATCCAAACTTCCAATAGCACATAATTATCAAGTGATATTTTCAAGTTTCCTGTCAACTTTAAACATTTTTTAACTCAAAAATATGACGGGCCACTGGATGAATCACTGCCATTACTTCCTGTAGTGTCTTAGTGGCTTTGCCATTTTTCTAGGTCAAACCTTGTGCATATATATATATATATTTTTATCACCCAAGGATGAAGTTGCGTCTTTGATTGTCCTTAATCAAATGTAACGTCCAATGTTTCTCCACAACTCCTTCTAGCTTATAAATGATGGAGTACTTATAATTATCCAGCAACCCAGAAAAGGAATTAGAACAAACTTAGAATCTTGAGAAACTCATCTAGAGAAACCCCGACTAGTTTATAAATTCTACTAAACACGGAGAACCAATATGTAGTTTTATGCTTTTATTTTTCTCTTGTTTTTCTTTTGTTATTGTTTGTATTTCACTTAACTCTTGTAAAGCCCTTTGAATGACCTTGTTGCTGAAAATGTGCTATTTAAATAAAATTACCTTACGAGAAAAATGTTCTTTCATCTGCGCTTTTCTCCCATCCGAAATATCGCATTTTGCACTTTGCGTTTTAGATCTTCATCCTGAAGTTTATCTGCTTTAAAGAGAGCCTGATTAATGAATTGCACTTGGCTTGCTTCGTGCATTTCATAATCATCTCTGAAGCAGTTATGCCAGGTATGTAAGGAGGCTTGACAGGGCCTGAAAGAGTGGATCCTGTTGTGCTCAATTGTCGTCCAAACTGCTTTTTTTTCTTTCTTCATCTTTCTGTCTCCGCAGGCAGTAAGGAGGCTGCATTCACCTACGCCATCATAGCGGCCGGCGTGGCCCACGCGGTCACCGCGGCCTGCACCCAGGGCACTCTGAGTGGCTGCGGCTGCGACAAGGAGAAGCAGGGTTTCTACAACCAGGAGGAGGGCTGGAAGTGGGGCGGTTGCTCTGCGGACGTCCACTACGGCCTGGGGTTCTCCAAAGTGTTCGTGGACGCACGCGAGATCAAGCAGAACGCCAGGACGCTCATGAATCTGCACAACAACGAAGTGGGCCGAAAGGTATGTTTGGGTTAAGGATTTCCATGACCATAACACCAAATCAGGTTCTCAGCGAACCTGCGCTGCTGTCGCTCTGCTTCACAGATGAGAGTGAGGTTCAGGTTGTGTGTGTGCGCGTTTGTTTATAATACCTTGTGGGGACCATTTTCCTGACATACTATGTGACCTGGGGTCATGGGGACCTGCTGCTAATTGTGGGGACCGAAGCCTGGTCCCCACAATTAGAAATGCTGTTTTTGGGTCAGGTTTAAAACTAAGGTGTGAAATGAGTTTTGGTTAGGGTTAGGATAAGGGTAAGGTTTAGGCTGTAGAAATGAATGAAAGTCAGTGGAAAGTCCCCACAAAGATAGCCACGCAAACGTGTGTGTATGTGTGTGTGTGTGTGTGTGCGCGTTTGCGTGTGAGTGTGCGTGTGTGTGTGTATGTGTGTGTGTGTGCGCGCGTTTGCGTGTGAGTGTGCGTGTGTGTGTGTGTGTGTGTGTGTGTGTGTGTGTGTGTGTGTGTGTGTTTGTTTGTGGGAGAAAAAAAGGATTTTGCTCACTGTTCAGGTTTCTGCTATTAGCAGTACGTGTTAAATGATTCGTTCCTGTTTTGTATGTTTTGCTAATATGCTCACGAATACAGATTAGGGGTGCACCGATTTATCGGCCAGTTGATTTATCAGCACCAATTTTCTTAATTTTAGGAGATCGGCCAATACTTTTTGTCAGGAGTCGGTCTTATCTACCTCGGCAAAGGTCTAAAGAAAATGTCCTCTTCTGCTCTCCCATCAGACAATAGTCAGTAACTTTCTTGCTATATTTAGCAACATTTTAGACAAAAGAAAACAAAATTGGCATCGGCCAAAATGGGAATCGGCAGGTCAGGCTTTTTTAAAATTGGTAATCGGCGATCGACTAGAAAACTGCAGTCGGTGCAGCCCTAATATGGAACCCGTTGAATAAATTAAAATATTGTTAAAAAGTTCATTTATTTCACTAACTCTTATCACCAAGTGAAACACGTTATATAGATCAGGCAAAAGCTTATGTTTTAACAACTTAATTTCTGTTCATTAGGATGATTTTCCACTTACAGTCAATGAAAGCACAACATTAAAAATTAGAATAAAAAATCAGACCAATAAAATAAGACAATTTTTAAAAACAGAAACGTGGGCTCAGTGAACACCTGGTGTAAGATCTGCCTAGAAGTTATTTTACAAAAGTCAATCTGACTCATTGGGACATTTATTCTAATTTATTGAACATTACTGTAGATAAACAGTGTCTCTACATACAGATTTTTAACAAACCTCTGATATAATATTCTGAAAAAAATGAGCAATGAGTTGGTGACTTATGTCCAGATTAGAACATCTCAGAGGAACTTTGTCTTATTGTCAAAAAGTATTTAGTAAAGAGCACAAATTCAACCATTGAGATCATTATTGAGCACACTGTTGCACACAGATGGAGTTCTAGGTTATTTCTCATTTCGATACTGTATCAATGTTACATTTATTGCATGTTACATTTATTCATATTTTTATTTACCCAGTTGGGCCCCATCGAGACTCAAGGCTTCTTTTTAAACTAGTTATTTTTAGGCCGTCACACAGTGTTAAAAAAAAGTTTTCTGTCAACTGTTATCCAATATTAGATGTTTGAAATTCAACTCCAAACCTTCAGTGCAGTAACATCTGCAACAAATGTTCCTAACGGGACATTTTACAATGTTTTAAACAGATACAAATGTCTCAAGCGGTGTCAAAGGTCAGAGCAGAGGTCAGAGTTTTAGGAAGTGATTTAAAAACCTGTCTGATTTGCAGTGGTAGGTTATTCCACATGTGGAACTGCAGCCAAAGAACTGAGGAGAAGCTGATCAGCAGGTCTGTGTGAACAGGACAGGGGTGTGTGATGGTTAAGCAGCCGACGGTGACTGGATGGGACTTTAGAAACAGACAAAATGATTTTAAAATGAATTCTAACATCCACCAGCAGCCAGTGGAGCTAGCTCTGGCTGCTGGTACTAGCAGAGTGTGGAATTAACTAGTTACATTTACTCAGTTACCTTTACTTGAGTAACTTTTTTTTTTTAAAACTGTACTTTTAGGAGTATTTTTACTACGCTATACTTTTAACTTTTACTTGAGTTGCTTTATTGTGACGTACCGTTACTCTTGCTTGAGCAAAATTTCTGGATTCTCTACCCACTGAATGAAGGAAAAACATCTTTTGAACAGAAAACTCACCTGACACAGACGTTTTATATTGAAAGAAACTGATTTGGAAAAACAAATCTCTCTTGCCTGATTTTGTTATGTTCTGTTTTATTTGAATTAGTCATTTTCATCTGACTGGTTTTCTAATCTGTTCATGTCACATTTTAGTTAGGATGTGTTGGGTAATTTCTTTGAAGCAGGGTTGTTTGGGAACAGTAAATACCTGCGATATTTTTTTTCTTTCTCTCTGCCATGAGCAGATATTCAGAGCTGGGCCAAGATTTGTGTCATGATAAAACAACTCCAGTTTCAGAAATGTTGGGGGAGTTCACTCCGTGTTTTAAAAACATCAGTTTTCATGAGACCGATATAGAAAACTCTGGATCTTCGACTGAATCTGCTTTGGGCTGTGGGCAAAAACGATGACCTTCCATCTGGATCATGTGTTATAAAACAGAACATGTGAAGCATAACAGGACAGAGTATCTATGTGATGTAAAGGTAATCTAAATAATGCAGTTTGTTTTTATGCACCGATTTGAAAATTTGGGCCGATATCAAGATTATTTTTGTGATGGCTGATATTTACCAGTATTACATACATTTTATTATTGTTTCAACACCTTTGGAAAAACTCCTAACCAGAAACACATAAAAATAAATATTAGTAGTTAATGTCGACCCAGTTTGTATCGATACCGAAATGTAAAAAAAAAAAAAAAAGACTAATACTAGCCTATACTGATGTTGGTGCCGATATGTAGTGCATCCCTACAATTTTTATTGCCATTCCAGTGAAGGATACGCTATTTGTTTTAGTGTTTTACTTTTCCTTGAAACAGGGTTTAAAATGTTCAGTTTAACTCTGTTTATATTTGTCATTCAAGACAAACATTTTTAGTATAAACAGCCAGTTAACATGGCCGCCTACTGTCCAGACCTGGATATCAGTGAACAGATTTTAATTCTGTTGTAAATACAAGGGGACAAGCTACCATGCTAAAACAATTTGAAGATATAACCCTGAGTATTTAATGTGTATTGTATTCCAGAAATAGAAGACCGGGAAAAATGTCAGCTCATATTATTTGATTCTTCTAGTTTGAAATAGCCCAACTGATCGGGAAGACGTCTAATCTTTAATTTCATTGTGTAATAACATTTTCATATAAATTACTGCCCTGAATCACTTTGTGGGGAAAACCCCCCAAAACATTCTGAAGTCATTCAGAAAACAAGTCAAGAATGTATACTGTGAGATGAAAAGCAACCTGATGCTGCCTCAGGACCCTGACTGGGCTCGCATTGGCTACGTTTAATGTCGTTAACCAGAACACAGGAAGCCAATCGACAGATCGATAGATACTGGCCACACAATCAAGCAGTCGACTGCAGAATCAAACGAGTCACATCCTGTGATGCACATTAAAGGTTTAACTGGAAACCTAGCTTTCCTGCATCGTCACGTTTGGAAATAAACCTCGGTCCAGGTTTGGTCTCAGTATTTGTAGGTTTTCTTTCTTCCAGTGATGATGGCCCCTGAGTGAGGTTGAAACAGTTCACGGAGCATCTGGGAAAGAAAAATACCTACTGGCCAAACAGTTAGTGTAACAAAGATATTTGGGTTCATTTGTTACATCTTGGAATCTAAGTCGAAATACATTGTAGACAAAATGCTATCATTTTCTTAATGAAAACAGAGATTTTTGTACTCAAAAATCTCAATTTGTCCACTATAAAGCAAACCTAGTTATTAGGATGGTGAATTTAAATATTTATTTGAAGATATTAAAGCAATATCTCTTTAGATGCACATTTTTATAACAACTGAAGTTAAAATAGCTGCTAGATTGTACTATGAAATGGCACTATGTTGCTCCACTAGGGATAACTGAGAGTCTCAGAAGCTGTTCACATTTGCTGAGGCGCAGCAGTGCACCAATGATAGTATTTTAGCGAAAAAATTGTAGCGGTAGTAGCCTTCAAAATAAAAGCTGCATCATTGTATTGCCACAGTAATGTAGTACAAACACACACAGGCCTGTCAGAGGTTGTCACAGCAGGTTACATGAGGCCTGTGAGCTGCATAATGCCTCGGTTTGGTGTAGACTGTAGCAGAGTGGTTTGGGGTTCGGGGTGTTTCAGCAGTCAGTCTGCAACATCCTCTGGAATGACTCCTGGCACCGGTCCTCACTGCGTACCTAACTCTTATCTATCTATGGCTACAAGAAGTTGCTAGTGCACAATAACTCAAGGGCTGATGGGGGGTTTTGCGTTCGTTGGGTGTATCGGAGACGGTCAAACACTCTGTGCATGAAGAAAGAAAGCACTGATGGATGGCTGATGTTTACCACATCCCAGGAAAGGGAACTGTCTCGCTCCCCTTTGGACATGGACAGAGGGGAGAGAGAAGGAGAAAAGAGTGAATATCAAAGCACAGCCAGGACGCAGTAGCATCGAGTGTTGATGGTGAAGACCGCTGACACACACACAGACGGCCTCATCGTAGAAATCAGCCCTTCTGTTTCTTTTTCTAGTGATTGGTCTAGAAAAAGACCAATCACGGTATGTTGACAGTCATACCATCAACATGTTCACATTAGTAGCTGTCAGTAAACTGCTGCAGTTATTGTAGAAAACCTTTCATATGGCCTTTGGCCAAGCATTAAACCTGAGATGTTTTCCTGCACACTCCATAGGAATGGAGGAAAGGAATAGTCTTCTCATGTCTTCACTGGTTGGTGTCTTGTATCAGGTTTCTGCAGGAAAGAAGTCTGCTAGGTAAACCTGGAGGAGTGTGTTAAGGCTTATATCAGCATCACCAAGCGTAACTATTAGCCTCATAGGTTATTTTTTTCTTAAAAACAAAATGATTTGGAAAATCTTTCTTCTGCCTCAATCTTATTATGAAATGATTTTATTTGTTAACATTTCTTAAATTTTAGTCTTTAAAGAACCAGAATTTTTTTACATAAAATGCTATTTTTGTCTGCCAGATGTCATTGTTAAATATTAAATCCGATGTTCTGGTGATCAGTTACTCAGTGCTTGACGAGGCTTTTTATGAAATACTTTTTTACTCGTATTTGAGTATTTTCTTGGAGGGTGACTTCATGCTCACACGCATTGTATAATCATGACAGATTCTGTTTCACTGAGGACGATTAATTAGGAGGAGAAAAGGCTGCAGGACTTTCTCACATCAAGTTAAATAATTAGTTTAGATGCTGAGACTGTAACGGGCCTGTTCAAATCAAATCATTTTTGACGGATGTAACAGCCTGAACATGGAGTCGTAGTTTTCTCAGTTCTTTGTTGCTTTAACTCTAACTATTTTTCAAGCTTTTCAATTGTCAAAGCAATGTCTTGGCATGCTTTGTACTTTGTGCTAATTGCATGTAAAATTATGCTCTTTTTTTCTGTCTACAACAGTAAAACAATCTCAACCATTCATCCTGCTTCTCTCTCTCTCTTTTTGGGAGGGAAACTTAGACGTGTCAGACAAACTTCAGAGTAATGCTTCACATGTTTTCAGTTAAATATATTGTCATTATGATTAATTGTGATGCCTGATTATTTTGGTGCCCCCCAGCCCCGGCCACTTTGTGCCCTGTGTTCAGAGCATTATTTACGTGGGCGGAGCTACGGCCCTGGCTCAGTTTTTGCCACAGTTGCTTGAGGCCGGTTGTCATCAGGTCTCTTACCTCCAAGCCGGTGAACACAAATGGAAAGATCTCCCTAAGTCAGGGATGAGCTCTGTAATTTGCCAACTAACTTTCAGACTGAAGTCAAGATTATTTAAAGCGAAACCGCTGCAGCACAACGGAAACTGCAACTTTGCCCAGTTTTTATACATTTTATGTTGTTTAAATCAAAAGGAAACTGTAAATTAGATGAATGTTAGAGAGGAAGGACAGATCTGTGAGGAGTAGAACTGCCGTTTCTTGCAGTGGTATTGCACCATATGCAATGTGACTGTGCTGTGGATCTATTTGATTAATTAATACATGTCAGACTGGGATATATATATATATATATATATATATATATATATAAGTGCCATAAGTTTCCTTGTTTCATCAACCACCGGCTATGCACTCTTGAGCTGTTGTGGTGCATTATGGGAGATATGTGGTATTATTGCTATGGGCACTATTCTGGTTGGCCATGAATAATAAATACTCTATAGGAAAATACAGCTCCGGAAAAAATTAAGAGACCACTTCAAATGATCAGTTTCTCTGGTTTTAGTTTTTATAGGTATATGGTGGAGTAAAATGAACATTGTTCTTTTATTCTATGAACTACTAACAACATGTCTCTGAAATTCCAAGCACCAATTTAGTATTAATTTGCATAAAATGAGAAAAGGTCAAAATACCAAAAAAGATGCAGTGCTTCCAGACCTCAAATAATGCAAAGAAAACAAGTTCATATTCATTTAGAAACAAAAATACTGATACTTTACCTCAGGAAGAGTTCAGAAACCAATATTTGGTGGGATAACCAGGAGGTTTTCAGTGGGGTTCAGTGGGCTCTTCATTTTTCCTGAGCTGTATGCCGTGATCAGGATTCATTCATTCACAGGCTGAATGTGACCTGTGGGTCTTGAACTGGTCCAAACTGTCTTCGGCCAAAAATGTTTAGACTTGTAGCAAAGTGCAGTCATACCGTCAACATGTTCACATTAGTAGCTGTCAGTAAACTGTTAATTACTTGTTAGTGTGAGTCTTTTGTATTACAGAGAATAATTTAAAAAAAACAAAAAAAAACAACCCGATGTGCAATTCCTTCTGCTTCAGATTAGCTCAGTTTCCCAACTTTACATACAAACCTCTGTTGTTTCTGTTTATCCCAGCTTCTCTAAACTGTGTTTGAATGAGGCTCCATGCTTGAGGTCTGACATTAATCACAGTGTAATACTCTGTCAGGCCCATAGTATGTACATACTATACTTACACCACTGTAATTATTGTAGAAAACCTTTCATATTTAATGGGAGATGATGTAAGCGTGTTTCAAGTGTTTCTCCCCATCTTGAGAAGAATAAACAGCGGCGTAAAAGGTGCCACAGAAGGCTTACACGGGTTCTGTTAGGCAAACAGTGGCAGCTTCGACGGGATTTCACTTCAGTGAGCTCCATTATTTCAGTGTTTGCCAGGTCTCTGGGGGGGGGCACGACCACACTAAGCTTTGCGCGTCTCAGGCTTTTGACAATTACCCCAAGAGACTCCAGAAAGTCTGAGGCCACATCAGAGTGGAATAATTAAAAAGCAGGGAGAGGCTTTTCTAATGCCAGCCAGGGCTCCCGCTCAGTGAGAAGGAAACACGCTAAGCTCATGTCATTCAGCCCAAGGAACACAGAGAATGTTCCCGCAGCTCTGCCTGACGTTTTGAAAGGTTCTTCGCCAATGCCATGAAAAGGCCTTTCTCTCCTTTCTACAAAGGTCCTCGTGTGTTGAGAAACCAAACTGTCTTCAGTCGCCATGGGAGCCTTTGAATTCATTTTGGAAGAGACATTTTGGGGTCTTGGGTTAGTTCTTGTTATCGATGGGAAGATTGTGAAATTATGAAGTCAGCTGGTCTCAAACCGGCAACCCATCAATTACCGGACAAACAATTATACTATAATACTATACTATAATATATACTATAATATTACAGAGAAACAAAAATGCATCTTTTTCTTTTGTTGTTCCAAGGTCCTTTCCATTACCAAAACAGATTTTTATTTTCTCCACTATCTTGCCCATCTCATTCCAGAGATGTTTGCAAGTCATTTCCCCCCCTAAGTCTGTCAGTTTCCCAACATGTACAGGTTAGAAAAAATACTGCAGAGAAATCATACTGCAGTTTGTTGCCATGACAATTATTCACTGGCGTACACCAACTCAGAAGGAGGACACTAATCATTTACTCAAACCAACTATAGCAAGTTGCTTTCAACCTTTATTCTATGAGAAAAGTTTCATTTACAAAACTAAAGTAGAGCCTGAGGAGAGGCGCTGAATTTCAAGGTTTGAGTGTAAGTCAAGTGCAAACTTCTTCTTTTGGTGACTCAGTTACATCTGGAGTTCAAGTCACAGACTTCAGGCATTATTGCTTCCTCACTGGCACTTTAGCGCAAAAGTCTGTTTTAGAAATGCTGGGCAAAGTGGATACGTTTAACCCTCCCACAAGTCTTAGTGAGACAATCCAGAGGAGTGCGGCAGATGTCACGGACCGTCACTGGGAAAGCAACAGGGGTGTAGGAGAAGAAGAAGATAAAAAATTGTAAAATCGTACGCAGGGTCAGTGCAACCCCACCGGTACCACGCGCAGGGTAAAGGGGTCACGGACTGGACCCCGTCTTAGGACTGTGGGGTTGTTAAAAACATGATAATGTATGTGTGTACACTTGGCAGCATGGCTTCAATGATATCACTATATTTATAGAAAATGTCTACCGATATCAAGCTGCAAGTTGGAGCTGTTGCTACCACCATTACCCTGAAGCATGAATGGACTGCTGGATTGTTTTCTTTCCAAAATAATGAATCCTATCTGTGTGATTTATGTTAGACACATGATCATTTGCAGCCAGGCTCGTCAAGACACTGACATTTCAAACTTGATAACAATATGGAGAAAAATTCTGAATGATGTTTTTGATACCATGGAAAAATTTATTTCTGAAGAAAAACGTTTTCTCTTAAGGGAATACTATCATTTACAACATAAAAGCATTTTCATTGCTTTAATACAAACAAAACCATTAAGTCTAAAGCAGGTTAGTCATTATTTAGACAAAATATAAAATGTTAGCATCAGCACGGATCAGTTTATATTGATTTTTATGTAAATGAGTATGTCTGAATAGACCTCGAAGACGGGGCCAAATCTCTAAGAACAAACAGGCCTTAAGGGCCTGTCTGAGGTTGCTGACTAAAATCCAAGAGAAAAAAAATAACTACTTTCATTAACTAGTCATTAAGTAGAACTACTTTCATTTGCTTTTGTTTTGTAAGTGTCCAACACGGGATTGGAAAGAGGAAAAAACCCCAAAGGAGTCTGAAAAGCCCATTGATCATTCTAAGGCCTTTCACATTCACACAAATTCAGTGTGTGAATGTGTGTGTGAATGGATGATGTAGAGTAAAGCGCTTTGGAGTCCTCTGGATTTGAGAAGGTGCTGTACAAGTACAGGTCATGTACCATTTTTTAAATAAGACAACAGTTCACATGTTGTTCTTTGAGTTAAAGAATGGCCCAGACTGAGTCATTAGCCATAGCAGCTCTGAGATTTCTGGCATGCCAACTTTTACTCTAAACTCCTGAAAACGTTTGTCTGACCTTGTTGGACGATTGTTTCAAAAATGTCCGTCTGACTTTTAGGCAGAAAGTGATTTCTCCACGACAACTTTGGGACACAAGTGAAATCCAGTGAAAATCCAGTGAAATTATTGCCTTTTAGTTCTCTTTAAACTCATTTTCTTTCTTTCGACCCTTCCATGTGCGTTGCAGGTCCTCGAGAAGGAGATTCGCCTGGAGTGCAAGTGCCACGGTGTTTCCGGATCCTGCACTACCAAGACGTGCTGGATGACGCTGCCTAAGTTCAGGCAGCTCGGATACATCCTGAAAGACAAGTACAACCAAGCGGTGCATGTGGAGCCCGTCCGCGCCAGCCGCAACAAGCGCCCCACCTTCCTCAAGGTCAAGAAACCCCACTCCTACCACAAGCCGAAAGACACGGAGCTGGTCTACATCGAAAGGTCGCCCAACTACTGCGAGGCCGACCAGCTCACCGGCAGCATGGGAACACAGGGGCGCCTGTGCAATAAAACTGCTCTGCAGCCCAACAGCTGTGACCTGATGTGCTGTGGCCGTGGATATAACACTCACCAGTACTCTCACGTTTGGCAGTGCAACTGCAAGTTCCTGTGGTGCTGCTACGTCAAGTGCAACACCTGCAGCGAGAGGACAGAGGTGTACACCTGTAAATAGGGATATTTATTAGGGCACACACCTGGACTGTGTTGTGTGTGAACGCGTGTGTGTGTGTGTTTGGGTATGTGTGGCTTTTCTTTACAAAATCACATTACAACAATTTTAACTGACCTGTTCTGCTTCTATTGATTATGATGACGCCAATGGACGTTGGATTCAGCTCGTAGGTCCATAATTGTTCCATTAATCTTTCAAGTTCAGAGCTTTTTCATATTGCAGACTACTTTTTTGGGGGGGGCAGTCTATGTTTATAGGTGCAGTGGGACTAATGTCAAATGTTATTTGCTTTTCATTTTGTAGAATAGTAATTTATTGACTTAAAAAACTACTGATCACATTGAAAACACTGCAAAAACACACAAATTCTACCAGGTAATTTTTGTCCAGTTTATAATGCAATTATCTTAGTTTTGTCTTATTTCAAGTTTACTAACTTTCAAGTAATTTTTCAGCAAGACATAGGAGTTAAGTCAATTTCTTAAAATTTGTGAAAAATACTACTTCCATTGGCTGATTCCTTCACTAATAAGAGATTTTTCCCATGTTGTAAATAAAATAATCTACCAGTGAAACTAACACTTTTTCATCAATATTAAATATTTATTTAAAACAAGCTCCTATGTCTTTCTGAAAAGTTACCTCAGAGTTATTTTTGTCTTATTTTAAATGTACATTTGCACTAGAAACTGGACAAAAATATTTGGTAAGATTTTGTGTTCTTGCACTGAATACTCTCGCCACTACATCTCAAAGCAGATGGTGTGGATGTCTAAAAATAATATCTGCACTTAAAAGCTTTTTTTTTTTTTGCAACTTTTTCATTTTATTTGTGGTAACTTAAACACTGGGGCTAAAAAGTGAAATGAATCCCATGTAGGTTAACGTGACCGATCCTGTAGCCTGCAATAAGAACTACTGACCATGTGTTTGTTATGATGGTATTGTTTTCTGCTTCCTGACCTTACTGGACTAACACTCACCAGAAAACTGGCAGCAACGATGTTTTATCTACATGCCCACATCTTCATAATCAATTATTAAACCCGTGAGAAGGTAACATATCCCATGGCGCTGGATTTATCTAAGCATAAGAACCACCAACGTACAATTTTCCAAATACAAATACAGCTCTGGAATAAATGAATTTTATGCAAATAAATACAGAATCTTTGCTTGGAATTTCAGAGACATGTTGTCAGTAGTTCACAGAATAAAAGAACAATGTTCATTTTACTCATATACCTATAATAAGTCAAATCAGAGAAACTTACCATTTCAAGTGGTCACTTAATTTTTTCCAGAGCTGTATCTGCCCCTAACTTGGTCAAAATGTAAGAAAATGCAAGTGATAGAGAGGGTGGAAAAGCGCCATGACTGTGGAAAATAGTAAAATATTACATAGGACAAAAAGTCACATTCATGAGTTGCCAAGTGAAAATCTGCTGTCTAATGGGACTTTCGGACTCTTTACACACAGGAATGTTTCTTTCTCAAATGGGTTGTCAGTTTCAAAAACATCTATGTACACACAGCTCCGTTCCTAGAAATGTTTTCATCCACATAGAAACACGGACGGCCGTCCAAAATGCTCTTCTACTATCATGCTCTCCCAGACCTGTAAGTGGTGCTAAACATGGAGTAGTTCTCCTATGTGGTGTGTGAAGTATCCGGTGTGTTAGTGCAGCATACAGAGAATTACCTGAAGTTGATTAATGGGGTTCTATAGCAGCTGCAGCACAACCACAGATGTGTAGTCCATCATTGACGTTGTAACGTATGATGTGTTTGGAGTTGTAGGTCAGGTTAGTGGATGGGTTGATATGTCAGCGTTACCCAAGGGCAAGACTTCTGAAAACCTCTACAGTCCCCAAAATATGGCAAAAAACTTATCAGTGTCAAAAAATAATATTTTTCTGTGGAATAGGTCTTTTAAACCAAAACTGTCACCAGTTCTTTTTAGAGTCTGTTGAACTGTCCGCTGAGATCAATAGGCAAAAGTTGCTGAACTTGTCCAAACTGCTTAAATGTTTCAGGTCAATCCAATTGTAATTAATCCCCCACAGTTAATGAAATCAAGATATATGGAGAAGTTTTTTAAGTCATGAGATCAAATCTACTAAAGATTTCTGCAAAATTGTAGTTTGGAATGGTTTAGAGGCCTTTTAGTGAGATACACGAGGAAGTGACTGCAGTATTACATAGATTACTGGAGCAAAAGTAATCGCTACTGGGTAGAAATTAAAGGAGGACCACACATTACTAATGAGGCAACACCGATTTAAAACTAGAGCTATCAGCTTATAGCATGACTAAATAACTAGCTAATTAGCTTCTTTGTTCTGCTCTTTGTAGAGCAATCCTGGAAAGATAACCAGCTAATATTAGCTAGTTAAATAGTATGTATTTCCTACATGCCAGAAAACTTAGAACATTTTTAGAGACATTTCTTGTAACTTTCCTGGGGCTATTTAGAACAAGATTAGCAGCTGTAGTGCTACACATTTGTAGTACTACAAATGTGTACTATTTAACTCACTAATATCAGGTGGTTATACTTCCAGTATTGGTCTACAAAGAGCAGAACAAGGAAGCATCAGCATTCTGTGCCATAAGCACCACTAAATATCAACTCCATGATTCGGTGAGAATCTCACATCATTCCAGGTCTGCCTTCCTTTTGTGTTTTCACCAACACGTATTAAGATCATTACTTGCTAGAACCCCAGTTGAACCATGATTGTGAAAATGTTCTATGAGCTGTGGATCAATGTGTGTAGCTACTGCAAAGTCTTTCTTGAGATTGTTTTTCTTTTTTTTTTCCTTTAAATGTGCTGCTAGGTGTGTTGAACTTTTAAGTTATGGTGTTTGTGACTGAGCAGCCATGTTGACTCTTCAAGCTAGCAGTGTGTAGGAAGTGTAAGACAAACATTCTATAAATTTGGTTGACATAATATATTTTTAAGAAATTATTTTTATATAGATCGTCTTTATTTGTATTTTTTTGTATGTCTGTGTAATAGCTGTTAGCTAATGAACTCAAACAGCTAAGAGCGTAGCTTCAAACAGCTGCCATTAAAAATGCTAGTGCAGTGTGTGAGTGGTATTTCATCAGAAGTGGACAAAGAAACATTGGTGTTCACTTATGATGCTTTCCTTTTACCTCTATAGTTTGAAACTGGATCTGAGATAAATTCAAACCCTTTTTATGCTAGCTTTAGCTGGTCTATCAATTACAACTAGCCTAGTTGAAACCAGAATAGAACGACACAAACACATTTTCTTCTCACTGTGTGAATATAAATCTGGCCATACCTCTCTTGTTTTAGGTCAGTTAAAGCAAATAGAAAAATTATTTCCTACATGCCAGAAAACTTAGAACATTTTTAGAGTCGTTTTTGTAACTTTCCTTGAATTCAAAAGTTTACATACATTTGATCTTTTAAACTATATGACATGAGTCAAACCTTTTGGGTTTTGGAGTTCTGGTCCATTCCTCCAGACAGAACATTTTAGACTAAAAGACTTTTACCTCTGGCTCACAGAACCTGCCTCCTTCCTGAGCATTTTGATGGTTGGACATTCCCATGATGTTTAAATAATTGCATATAATTTTTTTGAACAGATAAATGTGGCACCTTCAAGCATCTTTAGAAACCAGTCTGGTGTCAAAGAAAGTGGGGCAGTAACAATTCCTCAAATGATTCGAGTACCTCGATTATTAAGATTCTTCAGGGAAAATTATCATTAAATCATATTTTGCTATTTAGTAGCATATGTTCTGGCCAGATAATTATATGTGTCTTACAACACTCACCTCCACCAATGAGTTGTTGACAAATGCTAAGTGCTATTAGCACAACATAGGATGATCAAACGTCCTACTTTCCGTGGACATTTCCAGGTTTTAATTGCTTTTTGGGGGACTGACAGGCATCCTTAAAATTGACTGGAATACAACAATCTTTCTCCCAGAATTTCTGCCTACTGGCTGATTTGGAGCAAATGGCAATGAAGAACGCGGCGGGTGTATGTATACAGGTGGAGTGGAGACTCATGCAGATAGATGGAACATAGCAGCTTTGTAGATGATACTTAGATTTATGGAGTCTGTCAAACCAGAACCCAGTCGGTCATGGGGAAATGGTCTTATCAGTGAAGTAATCTGCCAATGGAACCAGAACTTTTTCCGTTCTTTGCTGTGTTTAACAAATGTCCCTAAATTAATACCAACTGCTTGGTTCCCATATTTGAAGCTCCAGTTTTATTTTTTTTAATATGAGGACAGACCACGTTTGGTTGAGAGTGGTGGTGCAGGATCGAGGCCGTCAAAGCGGGCTTGCTCTTCAGCAAACAGTGGGAGTGTGTAGCTGCCAGCTGATGGATTACCCTGACATCTGCTCCATTCACTCCTCGGCAGCGTTGCTACAACAACCGCAGTCCGCCCCTCAAAAAATGCTCCTCGTTTCACCAAGAGGCCGGGCTGCCTTTTTGTAAAACGGTTACCCCCCCCTCAAAAGCCAGATACAATTTGGATGCTGTGTGTTTTGTGGAAGTAACAAAAAAAAAGGGAAGGTGGGGAGAGGGCTTTTTACCACTGCTAAGGGATGACGTCCAAGAGGATTTCAATCAGAGTCATAGAATAGGACTTAGCACACAGAATATTTGACCCAAAACATTCCTTAGCTAAACTTTGACTCAGTAGAATGACATTTTGAAAAAGCAGCTGGCCGGAAAGCTTCGGCTGGACTAATACAAAGCTTCGTCGCTAGCGCCGCAGGATTGTCTGACGGCCTCCTGCAGCGTTGGGTTGTTACAGTCAGAACAGAAAGAATACAAACTGTGAGTAAATATGAAAGACGATATGTTTGTCTTAAACTGTACTGTTTGGTATATAGGCCAAAAAATTATGTTTTTTATGAGATTAGAGCACCTGTCTGTCACGTCGCTGCTGTGTACCATGTTGGAGGCTACAAACAGGACTTCTTCTGGATTTCTTTAAATAACAGCTTCCTGTCAGGGATCCTAGGTGAGTTCTAGCTAGGCGGTCGCCTTCCCGCACTTTTCTGTTTGAATCAAATCTCACTTTACAGCTCAGTCTGGGCTTTCTCCCATTCACTTGGATTCCCTTAAATTTCTACTGGTTCAATCAGAGCAGAAGGAGGTGTTGTGAACGATGATGTTGATGTTCTGCTGTTTGAGAATTGTAGACTGCTTGTAGTTTTTGCAACGCCAGCAGAAGAAGCAAGCAAAGCCGTTCAATCCTTGGTAACATTTCTAAATATTTAATTATCCTTAACAGCATATTGGAACTTTTCCATTCACGGAGGAGGATGGATGTTCACAGCTCAGGCAATTTCTGGTAAGCTTCATAGCGTCCAACTGGCTCCTTACACAGCATTACGAAAGCAAGTTTCAACCAATCGCACATTGAGCGCCGTGCAAATGTGTAACTTTACAGCATTTTCGTTAGCTAAAAGATTGGCCCACTGATCGTGGTTCTTATCAATCAGAAACAATAAGAGGAGGAGGAGATGACTCATAATGCTCAAGGATCAGCTACTGCAACACCTTGCTTGATGCAGCCATGCCAAAGCACAGCAAGTGTGCA